TGTTCCTAGCACTGCACTCTTCTGGACAGAGAGCTCTGATGTTGTTCCTGGGATCTGCTGGGATCTCCCAGCTTAGGAGTAACCAGGTGCTCTTACCACCACTGGGACCACTTTGGCACTTTACTTTCCACATATTTATTTATTAAAATGTGTAATACATAATATACATTATACAGATAAGAGTTGAGAATCAGAAATTCCATGGTCTGAATCTCATTTCTATCCATTCATAGAATAATAGTGTCAGATGAGAAAAGCCTTTCTCACTGAGTATCATGCTCCACCATGTTCTGCTGGATATCTATGAAATGTCCATAAACAGGATACACATGGAGTAATATCCTCCTATTCATGTACTCCAGCAAATGGTATTGCTAGATTTTAAGCAAGCCACCTTGATTCAGAACAAAAGAGAATGAAAGTGATTAATGTTGTCCTTTTTTCCTACCTATAATTTTTTGAGTCTTCCATTTATGCCCAAGCAGATCTGGATCTGTAATTATTGGGCCTGAGATACTTTGATGAATTAGTTAATCTCTTCTTCCATTTGACAATCCCTGTTTGAACTGCTCCCTACACCTCTCTCATTGTAGGCACTTGGCAGTGGCAACAGCTGTGGGATCAGCCTGGTTCCCACTCGGAGGGGACCCATCTGGGTAGTAGTTGATTTGGATTGTGATTGTAATTTTATTCTGCTGAGCTGGCTGGTTCATGATCTGAACTAGCTATTCCATCTGGATAGGCATTTGGACCTGTTTTTGGAGCAAGGTGTTGGCTACTGATTGATGCTGGAGTTGCCAGATGATCAATAGCCATCATGCTAATTGTTAGTTTGTGGGCAATAGCTCTCCTTCCATCATGGCACAAGCATGTGAGGCCAATCAAGCTGTCAGGCTCCCCAGTCTCAACAGTAAATCTCTGTACCCCAATTTTATCTAGCTTGACAGCTAGACTCAACTGAAGTCTCTTAGACAGAGGACATAGTATGGCTAGATAAAAATCTTTATTGCACGTGTTTGAAACCATACTGAACAGTCTGTTGTCCTCTGTCGGCATGTGACCGGCTCTTGTCACCAAAAATAAATTCCTTTTCCAAATGCAATTCTTAGAAGGTTTTTAAAATTAATAATAAGAAGGGATGAGATTATAAGAATTCTGGCAACTGACATATTTCCAAACATACAGGCAGTGTATATCCTCAGGATACATTAGGGTGGAATCTTTCTAATTGTTCTTATTTGCTGTCTTTCTATGAATGGGAAACTGTGAACCTTTTCATTAATAATGAAGGAACTTGCAGGCTGTTTATAAAACTATTTCCTGAATCTTTATTAGTCTGGGAATTGACTGTCAGGTTCGGTCAGCACGGGGCTTCAGGGAAGCACGGGGCTTCAGGGAAGCTCGCAG